GGGGGCGGCGCTGGAGGCGCCGCCAGGGGTGGCCCCAACGCCGATCCACAAAATCCGGTCGGACCTCCGAATTGTCATGCTTATACCGTTTCTCCATCTTGGAGATACCGGAACGGATCGATCGGATCGACATGGACCCTCACCTTGCGGACCGGGTTGGCGCGGGTCGCCGCGGCGTCCCGCTCACCCGCGGCGGCGGCGAGGACCAGTACGAGCAGACCGGCGCGCATGGTTGAGAAGGCTGCGGTGGCTACAATGGGGCACCGCGGTGCGGTCGGATGGCACGGGAGCGTTTCGCTCGAGATTGCCTTGGGCCACAACGGCCGCTGAGCGGCAAGAGGTTCTATGGCAACTCATGGGAGCATCCCGTGCCATCTTGCTGGCTCGACGCCAACCGACGCTAATCGACGCTAGTCGACAGTAAATCGTCGCCAATCGACGCTGGATCGGCGCTTTCTCATCGATTACTAGCGCATTCGAATGCACTCTAAAGATACAATTGCGAGGGCATACGAGGCTCCCATGGGTTGCTGCCGATAGGAGGGGTGAGAGAGGAAGAAGACCGACCAATACTCAGAGAAGGAAGAAGTACCGATCCCACTGCTCGTCCTTGAGAGCCCTCCTCGCCACGGCCAAATGTTCCTCGGAATCCTGGTCAGGACGCACCCCGGGAAGAGGTCCGGAGAACAGCGGTGTCGACCTTTTTTCTCCGCAAGCGAAGTTGGGTCAAAAACTTGGTGGACTCGGCTTTCCAGCCGTGGTACTGGTCGGCCTTCCACACCATGACTCCTGCATCTCTCCGCGCAAGCGGCGACCTGACGAGGTGGCCCACGCAACTAATGCAGCACACAGCGTGGAAAAGAGGGCGCCCAAACGCGACCTTACGCGGGAAGCTCATCAGCGACTGTCCGCGCAAATGATCGCCCAAGGTCTATGTCACTCACGTAGGAGGCTCCGGCAACCCTCAACCCTCAAAAAAGACATCTGCCATGGAAGGCGTCGTTTGGTACCGTTGGCCTTGCGTCGGCGGACCCACTCTCGATCCACGGTTGGGGTCTTTCCAAATGGGGTCCGGGCACGAGTCGGAGGATCGCCAAGCATCGCCAATACATCGCCGATGCATCGCCGATGCGTCGGCGACGCATCGGCGACGCCAGCGATGCATCGGCGACGTCGGCGTGGAGAAAAACGGATTCCACATCGAGCAGCATCGCCAATCCATCAGCGATGCGGCGCGATACTCCGGCCCCATCCACTCGGACCCCATCTGGTACGCCTGCAGCTCTGCTTCCGCCAGCTTTCCGCCGGCATCAGCCGAGGGCGAGATGCCAATTTCTGAAAGAAGGCGTTTCGTGGGCGCTTGGAGGGGGGGGGTGGAACCGGACGCCCCCCCCTGGATCGAGGGGGGGGTGGAAATCCCCCCGCCGGGACGGCCGAGGGGGGGGCTCAAATCCCCCCCCTACTTCTCCTCTCTCCCTGTTCTCGGGCCCGCGCTATCGTCGGCGGCAGCTGGCGGCGGCGACGGGGAGCGTCGATGAGAATGACGGCTTCCTTTTCTTGGCCAGCGCCTGCACTTGCGGCGTCTGGCGGCAGCGGCGGGGAGCGTCGACGAGGACGACAGCGACTTCGACTTCGACGACGACGACGACGCTCCGCCACCGTGCCTTGGCTTTTGGGTCAGTGTCCTAATGGATGCCTCTTGGGGTCTCGTCGGAGGGCTCTCGGAGGCTTCCGGGCATTTGTGAAGCCTCCTGGGCGCCTCGTGGACGTCTCTTGGGGCCTCTCTCAGATGGTGGCGGTGGTGAACCGTGGTGGTGTGGTGGGTTGTGGGTGGTGGTGGTGGTGGTGGTGGTGGTGGTTGTGGTGGGGCTTGTGGTGGTGATGGTGGTCGTGGTGGTTGTGGTGACGGTGGTGGGTTGTGGTGGTGGTGGCGGTGGCGTTGGTGGTGGTGATGGTGGTGGTAATGGCGTGGTGGTTTGTGGTGGTGGTCGTGGTGGTGGTGTAATGGTTTGTGGTGATGGTGGTGGTTGTTGTGGTGGTGGGTTGTGCTGGTTGCGGTGGTGGTGCATGCGGTGGTGGTGGTGTGGTGGTTTGTGGTGGTGGTGGCGGTGGTTGTGGTGGGCTGTGGTGGTTGTGGTGGCGGTTCTGGTGGTTGTGGTGTCGTGGTTTTTGTTGGTGTGAGTGGTGGTGTTGGCGGCGGTGGTGGTGGGTTGTGAAGGTGGTGCCGGTGGTGGTAGTGGTGGTGTGGTGGTTTGCGGTGGTGGTGGTGGTGGTAGGTTGTTCTGGTGGCGAGGTGGTGGTTAGGGCGGTGGTGGTGGTGTGGTACATTGTTGTGGTGGTGGTGGTAGTGGTGGGTTATTGTGGGTGTGGTGGTGGTGGGGGTGGGTAGTGGTGGTGGTGGTGGTAGTGGTGGCTGTGGTAGTGGTGGTTGCGTGGTGATTTGTGGTGGTTGTAGCGGTAATTAGTGGTGGTGCTGGTTGTAGTAGTGGTGGTGACGGCGGTGGTGGTGGAAGGTTAGTGGTTTGTGGTGGTGACGGCGGTGGTGGGCTGTGATGTTGGTGGTGGTGGTTTTGCTGGTGGTGTTGGTGGTGGTGGTGCGTGGTGGGTGGTGGTAGTTGTGGTGGTGGTCGTGGTGGTTGTGGTGGGTTGCGGAGGTGGTGGCGGTGGCGGTGGTGGTGGTGGTGATGGTGGTGGTAATGGCGTGGTGGTTTGTGGTGGTGGTCGTGGTGGTTGTGGTGGGTTGTGGTGGGTTGCGGTGGCGGTGGTGGCGGCGCTTTCGGCGGTGGTGGCGGTGTAGTGGTTTGTGGTTATGGTGGTGGTTGTTGTGGTGGTGGATTGTGCTGGCTGTGGTGGTGGTGGTGATGGTGGTGGTAATGGCGTGGTGGTTTGTGGTGGTGGTCGTGGTGGTTGTGGTGGGTTGTGGTGGGTTGCGGTGGCGGTGGTGGCGGCGCTTTCGACGGTGGTGGCGGTGTAGTGGTTTGTGGTTATGGTGGTGGTTGTTGTGGTGGTGGATTGTGCTGGCTCTGGTGGTGGTGGTGGCGGTGGTGGTGGTGGTGCGGTGGTTTGTGGTGGTGGTGGTGCTGAAGCCTTCGGGTCTTTCCGCCACCGTGTTTTGGCTTTGGGTCAAGTGGTGGTGGCGGTGGTTGGCTGTGGTGGTGGCGGTGGTGGTTGTGGCGGTGGTGGCGGTGGTGGCGGTGGCGGTGGTGGTGGCGTGTCGGTTGGTGGTGGTTGTGTGTTTTTTGTCATATGACATGCGCCCTGAGCCCAAGCCACAGCTCAGGTTAAACACAGGCAGCTGGGGCCCGACGTTGCGGCCAGCCGCCTGAGGAGAGGCGCGCGTGGCCGCATTCCTGTTCGCAAACGCGAAAAACAGAAACAAAAAACAAAACGTTCAGCGCCCCCAAAGGAACAAAAAAAGGGGAAGGGGGAACGACCGCCCGCACAAGGACGACGAGGCCCCGCCACCCCAGGTGCTGCTGCGCCAGGACGGCGGCAATGCCCCGCCCCAGATACGGGGCAAGCACGCGGATGCCTGCCCTTGGGGCCAGTCGCATCGGGCCGTGCGCGTGCGCAGGGATGCCCGGCCGCAGCGGGAGGCCGCGGCTAGCCGCAGTGGGCCCCGCGCCATGGGCGCTGAACAGGCTGGGAGACAAAATCTCCAACTCAAAACAGATAGACAGAAACACCGGTCAAGCAATCAGTGCCCCTAGAAAAAAACAAGATCACCCGCACGGGGGCGAGGGAACCCAGCCACCCCTGGTGCTAGCACGCCAGGACGGCGGCTAGGCCCCGCCCCAGATACGGGGCGCGCACGCGGATGCCCGCCCGTAGGTCAGTCGCATCGGGCCGCGCGCGCAGAGATGCCTGGCCGCAGCGGGGGGCCGCTGCTAGTCGCATCGGGCCCTGCGCCAGGGGCACTGGATGACAGGGAGACACAGAAAGATGAAGAAAGTGATGAGTCTGAGCTCCCTGAGGGAAGAACGTCTGGCTGTTCATCCCCTCCCAAACGAGGGGGGTCACGCACCTGGATCAGACTGTCGAGCTCCGACGGAGCCCCGCTGCCAGGCCCGCATTCTTCGGCCGAGAGATCGACAACTTCGCACGAAACGCCAGGGGGCCTGGGGCGTCTACCTCGACGGAGGGCCCTCAAGACAGACGCCGCGCATTTAGACCTGGCCCCCTTGGCCTCAGGTTTGCAGACGCTGCGAAGCAGCTTGAAACGGCCTCCGCAGCTGCGTTCGCAGCAGAGGTGGCGGAAATTCAATATGGTAACATTGGAACACTGAAGGGCGGTGACATGGTGCCCTCTCTTCAAAAATGTAAGTGCCACTTCGGGAGGCTGGCCAGAGCACCCCTGCCCCGCAGGCTTTGGTCCGAGCGACGGGGGCGGAGGCAGGAAGCGCAGCGACAGAACGCGGCACGCCAGATCTACTCATGATGGCACTGCTCGGCAGGCGGGGGACGAGGGTCCGCACCTTACGCAGGGGCCGCGAATTCGACCCCGCCCAGGTCAAGCCTGGGCCACGAGGGCACAAGTCTGGCGGCGAGTCGAAATGCATCCCCTGCCACTTGGAGCTGCCAATCGACGTGATCCAGCTCGGCCTCGAACCCGCGCGGATGGATGGCGGCCCCTCGATAGGCGGCCCTGCCCACCTCGTCGTTCCCTTCCTTGAGGAAACGCTGCTCACTAGTGAAATCAGGGGCATCTGCGACATGGGCCTCCACTTTACGAAGGGTAATCAGATGGGGCCCAAGCGCGTTGATCATGGGCCCCGCATGAGGTCTTGGATAAGAGAGCTTCTTGTCTCTCGCGCGGGACAAAGGCCTTGACCACATTGAGGCAGTCGCTGCGCCCTGTGGAGGGCCCCAAGAGGCACAGCGACCTGTAGGCTAGACAGCCAAACTCGGCCGCCTGGGGGGCCCGGGGGGGCCTGTCCCAAAGGCGGGCCCACATACTACATGCTATATTCCTGTTAGTACCATGCACAACTATGCCCCACCCTGCCCTGCTCAACTCCAATGGCGCGGCGCCCGCAGGATCCGCTCATGAAGATCTCGCCCGAGAATGACTGCTCGCCAGCCTCGTCACGTTGAGGACCTTCCCAATGGACCGCAGGAGGGGCCTCTGAAGCAGGCCCGGGGAGGGAGCCGGACGGGCGCGTGAAAATCCCCTCGGTGAAAAGGTGGAAGGCGTCGAGGTTCACGAAAGCGAAATCAATCTCGCTGCCAGCCTACAAGACGCCCGGGGCGCACAAATATCCCCCCTGAGAGCCTCGACCACTGGGCACACCCGCATCCAGTGCCAAATGGAATCCGAGGGCCCACCACATAAAGCACAACAGACCTGCTGGACTTGGCACCCGAGGGGGGCAGCTTTTTCCCCGGCCCAGCACGCCCCGCACACGTTGACTCGGATGCAGCCCTTCTCGATATACGTGCATTTCGAACTCCGCAGGTCTCGAGCCGCGGAGTCGCAGAGAGCCCGCCCTTGAAGCCCGAGCTTCTGTCCTGGGAGACGGCGCAAAGCCCCGGCCACACCTTCGCGCGGCAAAGCCCTGATGAGCTGGGGGGGGGGGGGGGGGGGGGGGGGGGGGCGACGGCGAGGGGGGGGGCCGCGCCGAGGTCATCCTTCAGCAACGCGAATGAAGGCATCGACCAACCGATGGGGGACAGGGAGAAGCGCACGGCGGCCATGGGCCCTCTGACCTGCTTCCAAGACTTAGGCGGGATGGCCCATGCACTGCAGCATGCGTCGCGGAGAGCAGCAAATCCTAGAGCGAAAGGCGCCTGCTGAACTTGGGCGCCCCAGGTATCCCGGGAATATCTGGCGATCGGAGCAATGGCTGCATGGCAATGTGAGCCATTCTCCGAAGTGCACAAACTGATGAGAAGCTGGATCCAGCAGAGGGTTTGACTGACTTCTCGAGGCCTGCGCGCAATGAACCCAACCCATAACCCGAGGCCCCGAAGACCGGAGAACCATAGGTAACCGAAACCAGCGGTCCTGCAACGAAAATCCTCCTGGAGAAACGCCCCAAGGCGCGCCGACACCTGGCCGCTCGTTTCACCCTCTGACGGAAAATGCCACACGTGCAGCCGCTCTCTTGCCTCGACCTCCTGCGCGACGGGCCTGCCCAGATCCGCCCGCCTAAACTGACGGCGGCGTGAACTCGATATTTTGGGCCGCCGCGAACTCCTATGTATTTCTCCAAAACCAGCCCGACCCATTTGGTGGAGGCCACCACGGCAGCCTCATCAGGAGAAATACAAGATGCCGCATCGCTTTCCCAGGCCATGGCCAGGGAAGTGGAAGCCTGCTTCAACGACCACACGACCGACTGCCCAGGGCCACTGCTGGAGAGACCGTAGTCGCCAATGTGGATGTCTAGCTGGGCCTGGCAAGGAAGCCCCTGAGAGCCACGGGGGGCCCATGGCGGGGATGACGTAGACCCTGGCGAATGACGCGGCAAATCCGCGTCCAGCCGCCACCCCGCGCTCACAAAAGTGGGGCCAGTGGAGCACGCCACCCAAGGGTATAAAGCGGGCCCCGCGGCGGGCCCTGACAGCGACCCAGTGCATCTCTGCGGGGAAGTTACGGCCTCGCACCTGTCAACGAGCTTGGGGGGCCGAATGGACTCATAAAATGTGCGGAGGCACCGCAGGGTCTTGCAAGCGCGTCTACCCTTCCCCACGGCGTTCCCATTCCGAACAGACTGGCGGTAGACGACGCCCAGGGCAGACTTGAAAGCACCCGCGGCGATGTGCGTTCTCTGACTTTCGGCTTCCCATCGCCGGGCGCAAGGTCTGCGGCCGCGAACGAGAAAAGGCAGGTGGGCCCATGCCCGCCCGCGGGCTTCGCCAAGGGCACGGCGGCGATGACCTGGGCCCGGCGGGGCGCGAGCCCCGCGCACTCTATCGCGCGGAACGCGGTGCGCTCAGCTGATTTGAGCTCTGGCTGCGCAGAAATTGCGCGCGCGGAATCCATCCGCGCTAGATGCCGCGCCCGCCGCGTAAGACTTACTCACTGCGACCGGGTCGCCCGCGCTAGGCGGCCTGGGCCCTTCCACGCGCTCGACGGGGGGCCATTCGGCCTCGGGAGGCTGCGACTTCGAGTTCCAGAGCCCCCCGGGCCGCGCGCCCTCGGCCCCGGGCAGGGGGGGGGGGGCGCGAAAGGGCGACGCCCTCCGCAGAGAGGTTGGTCGAGTCCACCCACGGCTTCAACCCCCGGTCCAGCGGCGCGCATTCTGCCCGCCCCTGTCTATCACATCCACGAGCCAATTGCGCCAGGCCTTCTATGGCCGCCGCGAGATAGACCTAGCATATCCTTCAAATCTGGGTTCGAGAAGAGCTTGAAATTCCGGAAAGGCCTCCTAGATCTTCGCGAACGCCCCCAATCCCACGCACCATGTCCCAACGTTGCTGATGCGGCCCCAAGGACTCACCCAATGACAAGAAGACGCTGGAAGGTGGATCCTGGCGATGGGAGCGACGTCGGTCGAACGCGCAAACGTTGCTGTCGGCCATGGCCCCCAAGATGAACCGGGTAGCCCCGGAGAGGCATCTAGCCAAGAACAGCCGAGGGCCCCCGCAGGAAGACTTGGAGCCCTGATCGGGGGCGCAGGTGCAAGCCGGGCGGGGGCGTCTACCCCTCGAGCCCCCAATGGATCAATCCTGTTGGGGATCCAAACTAATTCCAACTTGGCCGCGTCGGCCCATATCCGACGCAGAGCGCCCGGGCGGCGCTGCATTTTGCCGCGGGCGGGGCCGCGGGAAATCACGCCCATGCCGACATAAACAATGTCCAGGAAAGCGCTGTGATCAGCAAGTCGAGGCCGCGGACCAATCGGGCGCTCTGCGGGCAGCTCGGGGGGGCGCGATGACGGCGAGGGCCTCGAGCACAGCCAACTGCGGATGAAAGAGAAGGCGGCCTGGAGCGCGGGCCCCGGCGCCCGCGCCGAGCGCGGGCCCCGCGGCCCGCGAGCAACGCGCGAAGCCTGCTGAAAGAATGAAGAAGTCCAGTGCCCTGTCTCCCCCCGCACTGGCACATGTTCCCTCCTTTGTATAGATGATATTAGCCTTGAGCCAACCAGGGGCAGAGGAGGTTGCCAGCGCATCTGGCGTCATGTCTAAATCGCCCCCGACGCTGTGCGAGCCCTCGTACTCGCCGCGCCGAGCTCCGACCTCGGCGAAGACGCTGAGGTTCCTATCCGAGAAACCCTCGCGATCGTAAAGGTAGAACCGAAGTGAGCGAGGTTCGGGGCGCTCCAGGGACCGAAACGACACCGCTGAGAGTCCTGTGGAAGGGGGGGGGGGGGGGGGGCAACGACAGCATCAACATCAGGATCGTGAAGCCCAGAGCACTGCCGAACCAAAACAGCCACCCCAACAGACTTTCCCCCATCGCTAGTTCTGAACGCGGGAGCGCAACGAGCTGTCCATCCCCTCTTCAGTGCCAATTGTCCTGCCTTCGCAATCTCGTCAACGGCGAAGAGGCGGTGCTCCTGGATCAAGAGAACGTGCGAAAACGTGGTAGTGATCCAGGACCCCACAGAAGACCACGCCGCACACTTGATCGCTTCAACCGCTAACTGGAACGCGCAAGCAGGGCAAGGCGGCACAGGAAAGAACTTGGCTGAGTTGGACGGGAGCGCCCCCCCGCGGGGAGCTTAAAAAAACTGACTGGTTCTCTGACTGGTGCCAGCCGAGACAACACTGGCGCAAGCGTCCCCCGCCCGCCTGGGGGATGTCTCGAAGTGGTGGCGGGATTCCGAAACTGAAGAACGAACGATCCCCCCCATGCCGAATGACCAAGACACACACGGCACTCCCCAAGACGACCAATCAGATGTCATCGGAAGGGGGGACTGGTAGCTGCTCCGCGGCCAAAGCGGCCTCCTTGACGATGCGAACGGCGCCCGCCCGCACACTGGCGAGCAACGCCTCACCTGCAACCGGGTCGGCGACTGAAGCCGCTGGCCTGGGGTTGCCCGCAGCTCCCTCAGTAGTCCCCGATGATCCTGCGCTCCCTGAAACGCGCGCCCCGCCAGCGGCAGCGGCGCCAGGAGCACCCGCAGAGGCTTGGCCGTCGTTGGTCATGCGCTTCTTGTCCGGCAGGCGCGTGACCTGTGCACGGTGGGCCTCATTGGCATTGTTGACGGTGTCGGCAACGGACTGGAACAGCTCCTCCGCCTCGGCTTGGAGCTCGGCGACGAGGCGAGCCGGTCTGGCGCTGAACTCGTTGATGTCGTCCTGCTCCACCAGCCGCGTGGAATCGTCCACGTCGAATTTGCTCCCGAAATCGATGTCGAATGCGTCAACAGAGCCCGCCAGCAGCGCGTCCAGGGATATGGGGGGGGACCCCACGTCTGGGCCCTCTGTGGTCATCGTCGTTGCTTCTGCCGTCGGCGCTGCTGGCCGCCGCCAGCGCCATTTCTGACCGACGGCGCCGACTGTTGGGGGGGAGCCCCCCAAGTTCGAAACTCGCCACCGAATCTTCCCAAAGCTAACGCCCGTGAGACGCGCGCTCTCCAACCTTTCGGTCTCTCCCTCGAAAACGAAGCCCTGTTTGAAGCACCCTACGTGGTGGTCGAGTCGAATCGAGCCCTGAACCCCCTTCTACTCCGACATCGGAGATTTGCTCGTGACGTTGGCCCTTGGGATCTCCACCCCTTGCCTCAGCACCCTAAAAGGGGTTTAGGCACCCTGGAGAAGGAGGAATATTGAGGAAGAGGAGGAGGAGACGAAGGGGGAGGAGGAGTGAGGAGCAAGAGAAGGGGGAGGAAGATGAAGGGTAGGGAGGGACAGAGAAAATGCGAGAAGGAGCGCGTAGCGGTGAAGGGTGGCCATGGGGTTCGCGAAAAGGGACAGGCAGAAACACCCAAACGCGCTACCCAATGGAGAAATGGAGACTGTGAAACTCACGAAACGTGCGCAGCAATTCCAAACGCGCCATTGCAATTAAACCTGGGAACGAACAGAGACTGTGAAACTACAGAAACGTGCGCAGCAATTCCAAAACGCGTCATCGCAAGAAAACCGAGGGATTAAAGGAGACTGTTAGCAAAAACGCAACGTATCATCGCAAATCCTAGAACGACAAAAGAACAAACAGTACTCACAGTGCGGCATCCCCACGTGGCCCCACCCCGCGACCCACTTTGGTCCCCTTCCACAATCGAAATGGTTGCGAACTTTTAAGCCGATAGCGCGCGGCGCGAAGGCGAGATTATCA